TTTTCAGCTCGTGCCTTGGAGATCATCGACATGTCCGATAAAATCCTGTTATTCAACTTAATGGATGGGTTACAACCATGGGCGAGTTAGAACTTCAACATCGAGGCATCCAAGACCTTGCTACCGCCATGGCAGTGGTTGAGCAGCTGAATGAGGTGAGACTATTGGATGATGAAGCAATCTATCTTCCTAGCCCACGTGCACCGAACTTGGGTGGGGGAGATAGGTAACCAAACTCCCCTCGAGAAAAGCTGTCCTACCACAACTGGCCACCCGAGTAATAAAAATTAAAGAAGCCACAAGGAGATCGAAGTTCATACAGCAATAGATACCATGAAAGACTAAGTCATTCTCCCACTTGCAACATTTATAGGGAGGAACATCTGACAAAGAATTGCCCAAAGCGAGAGAAGCTGAACGCTCTTATTGCTTAGTGATGAGAATAGAGTGATGGGGAGCGGAGTACACAGGCACTGAGAGTGGGGCCTTCAACTCTTCAATGCAATTCTTAAGAAAGGGGCTACATCAAGATAGCTCTTCTCAGCCAAAAGAGGGTCGAGGTATGTTAAGCCTGGGCGGGAGGCTAACCAAGGTCCTAGTTGACATAGGGGCCACTCACAACTTCATTTTTATTATGGAGGCCAAGCAACTTAACTAGGCCATTTCAAAGGAGCCAGGTTGGCTTAAAGCTATCAATACAAGTGCTAAACCCATTGAAGGCATGGCTTGCAAAGTGAGAATTCAAGTCAGCACCTAGGATAGGGAGATTGATCTCTTTGTCATACACATGAATGATTTCAATGTGGTACTAGGCATGGTTTCAAATGTCGCAAAATGTTGCTAATGTCACCCAACATATGTCGATGTCAAGGCTCACTGACATGAAAATGGATGGTAATATAAAAATTACATTATTTTGGTCAACATTTCCTATATTTCGGAAATGTCGACCAAATCGGTCCAAATAACCCAAAAAATGACAGTTTTTCCCATTATGTCTACAGGATGTCAATAATGTCAACAGGATGTCGACTAATGTACATTAATAATATAATATATTAATATATTATATTATTATAATATATATAGTATATTAATATAAATTATTCCATTAATATTTTTTATTTAATATTTTAAATAAAATATTCATAAAAAAGAATTAACAAAATATAGAAACAAAAGAATAAATTAATTAGTTTATTATATAAAATATAAAATATTTTTAAAGTAATAAAATATTAACTAGTTAGTATTTTTTAAAATATTTATTAAAATCAGAAAATGTTTATTAAATTTTATAATAAATCATATTCTATTATAAGTTTAGTATTAAAAATCATAATAAATTTATTAAGTTTTATAAGAAATCAGAATTTATCATAATCTTAATACTACAAAAAGGAGAATCAGTTTATTAAATTTATAATAAAACGTAATGTATTATAACTTTAATATTTAAAAATCAGAATAAATGTATTTCTATTTACTAGTGTTAAATAAATATATTAGAATTTATAATAAATCAGAATTAAAAATAAGAAAAGAAAATATCAGATAACCTTGTAAAAACATCAAAATGCATAATAAATCAGTAAATCGTCATTTACTAATTTGTTATTGATCTTAGTTTCTTACCTTTATATAATGRTTGGGAATAAGATAATAGTCTAGAAATATGTATTAATGCTTCTTTTATCATTTTACAAAATATCATTGCATATTTCCACATATTTCATAATATTTCCACAATGCCTCTAATTTTTACAATATTTCCCTCGACATTTCCGACATATGTCCTATATTTTGGTAAGCGACATTTCCATCGACATCGACATTTTAAACCTTGCTGACAAGTCAAAGAAGCAAGTCTCAGCATTGCAACTTTTCCATGAAGAAGCCATGTTTGGAGCCAATGACAGGTATGCAGTAGAGAARACCCCTACTCATGCTGCTAAGACAACCAAGGTGGAGTCTAGATGAGATTGCAACAAGAAGCAACCACCCAACAAGCCGTCCTTACTATTTCAGTAGCAGCAACCACCATCGTGCCTACCATCAGCCATCAAGATCAACAAAAGACCCAAGGTCGTCTCCAGCAACAACCACACCTACTATTATGCCAAATAGGGAGAGTAAGTGCAACCCAATCCAATTAGGGACCACACCCATGGAACCAATGCTCCAAAAATTCAAACCATCATTTTGACCAATGCTGGGATTTTTGGAGCCATCCTTGGGAAAACTTCCATGGGAACCAATGCTCCAAAAATCCAAACCATCATTTTGACCCAACCCTAGCTTCAACTTTTCCTACCAACAAATCGGAACATCTAAATTCTTGCCTTGAAGCCACTAGTAAGGGACTTAACTTAGGAGCTAGCCATAGACTCTCCCAACATAAAGAGCACCTTCAAGCCTTTCGTCCAACCTTATGCCCGGTTCTTGGAAGAGACAAAGTTTGTGGAGAAGTTGAAGAATCCTCCATCAATAGCAGATACAAGCAGCTAGAAAAAGCCAATCTTCGAGGACAAAGATTGAAATGAATGGGGGAGACTGTCACAAGTGAACTCTTCGCCGCACCATCAAGTGCCACCACCGTGCCCGTGTCATGCCATAAGAGAGTTATCAAGTGTGTCTTGGGTGGGGCATTATATGTATTTTGTATAGGAGAAATGCCAATGGCATTATTGTAATTATCAATCTGATTTTTCACCACTAGTGATGTTTCCTTCTGTTACTCCCCCAAAAGGTTAAGTTTTATAGGGGAGGTAGGTAGTTGAATGGTGCCAATACCGTGTAAAGATTAAGCACGAGATCCCCTCGACACAAACTTGTGTGCTTGTTCTTGCCATCTTTTGATGAAATACAAAGTGCCTTTTGACTAATTTGTATGCCATCATTGTTGCTTTTGTTGCTTGTTGCCTTGCTTCATAGGCTTACTTTACCCATTCGAGCACCGCATGGGGCCTCGTCAACATTAAGGCATTACAAAATCAGTCCCATTCTTACAATCTAACTTCACAATACTAATCAGAATTAATCATCAATTTCCCTCTTGGTTTCAACCCACTAGAGAGGCAAAAATATCAATGAACACCTATCACAGCACCCATCACTAATCACTAATCAGTTACGGCCTTCCAGAAGAAACCTTAATCATGTCAATTGTAAAAGGAGATCGCTATACAGATCTTTCAACATTCTTGCTCTGATACCATGTGAAAAATTGTATTACAGAAGCATCGAAAAGAATAGAACTGAAAGAGAAAGAAAGAAGAGAAGAGAAGAGAAGAGAAGAGAGGAAAAGGGATAAAACAGCCGAACTGATTAGAGAGAGACTAGAATCACTTGATATCCTCTAAGCAATCGGCCCAACATTATATTAAATTTAAATAAAGAGTAGAATTACAAGTATGCCCTTATTTATGAAAAATAGTGCACTGGAGTGTCCCTATTCTATGATAGAATTACTTAACTACCCTATTGCTCATGTACAACCAAAATAATGCTCTTCCAACAGAAAGAAATAAAATATTTTAGAAAGCTGATTAGCTTAGTTGGTTAGAGTATCATGTCATTAATATGAAGGTTGTAGCCTTGTACATACATGTCTAACATAGGTAATCATATCAGTATCATAGACATGGTTTAAAATGTTGACATATTTTCAAATATTTCCACAACATATTACCATTTTTATGGATACTGACACAAAATACTAGAATTGGAATATCCCCAATATATGAAGGAATACACAAAATGGTACCATAACATGTTGAGCTAGCTAAGTGTTGCAAATATGCACATTTTATGCGTTTAAGTTTGTTTGAACTTATTCTTTTATGTAGTTTTAACTCTCAAAGTCTATAGAATAACTTTAGAATGTAGTATTTTGTCTATTAACCTCAGATTCTTGGATGTGTTTGATGGTTTGGAACAAGACAATAATTTAAAACAGTTTTTTTTTTTTTTCATTTGAAGAGCTACACAACAGGGGGTTGCCCATTCCCCAACCCATAACCCTCCAACACAGGTGCAGGCAGGGATTCCATCCCAAGTCTCCGCTATGACCAGCAAGAGACCTTACCAACTAGCTGGTTGGCACCTTGCAATAATTTAAAACAGTATTTCTATGTTCTTTTATCATTTCATCAAATATCATTTTATATTTCGGCATATTTTAATGTTTCCACCATGTTTATAATTTTTACAGTATTTCCATTCAACATCTCCAACATCCTTCTTATATTTAGATGACCAAGATTTACATTGACACTGACATTTTAGACATTGATCACAAACGGATACACCCCAAAAATAGTAACCATGCATTCAACATAAAATTCAAGGTTAATCCATCAAAACAAAGCAATAATCCAGGTAAGGTACACCTAGGTTCAGATTGCTTGCATTCCACAAAATGAGCCCTGTCAATGAACTTAAGTGCACCCAATGTAAATTACACATTCAACATAAAATTCAAGGTTAATCCATCAAAAAATAGCAACAATCCAGTTAGGGCACATCTAGGTTCAGATTACTTGAACTCCATTATATGAGCCTTTCCAATGAACCTAAGTGCACCCAAGGCATTCAGATGGCTATCATCAGTTAAGGAATCATCTGAACGACCATCTGAATTATACAAAAAATTCTGCTAGAGTACATAAATAGGAGGATCATCTAAAAAGCTTTATAGAGGACATCACTTGGTGCAATGGTAAAATCTTGGGCTGACAAGAATGAGAATTGGGGGGTTTGAGTATGAGAGCAGCCATTTTGTGCCCCCAAAAAATTTACCAAAGGTTAGGTTTTCATCCATTCTGCCCCTCCCAAGACCTTCGATAGCCAGGACCATCATTGGTTAATGGCTTTTATCTAGTAAGCCTCCTAATTAAGTATAACAATAGAGCTAACAGTAACCACCTGTTTCTTAAATTGAATCTAATGTAACACAATACTGAAAATATAAAGAATATCCTTGATCTTAAGAAACTTACATTTGATCCTTGCAAGAAATTAACAATTTCCTGTAAATACACATGACGACTTTTGCTAACCAAAACTGCTCATTTCTCAACTCCTTGTAACACCTTTGCTCAAGAGTACTTGTGATCTGCAAATCAGTTACAGAACTTCCATAAATAGAGAAACAATGAAATCACAGTTGCTTGTAGAAGTCATTGTTTGATTTTGTCAATTAATTCCTAGGTTAACATAACTCAGCCTTAACCCCATCTATTTGTAGTGAGCAATTAATTGATAGATTAGACTGACGCAAACTATTCGTATCTAAAAAAGGGCCATCAATAGAATACATTTTTCTTTAATCACCAACAAGATAAAATTTTTTAAAAGCAAGAAGGATAAAAATTATGGTTCCCACTCACCCTCAAAGACAAGAATAACATAAAAAAGCCACATGGCTACCATACAACATACAAGTAAAACACAAAGTGTAAAAAGGAGAACTCTACTCTGTGGGGATAATCACCCAGTGCTGCTCACTACAGGCAATTCTACCCTGAGCCAAACCATTTGCAGAGAACACATGAAATACATATCCGACAACTATATACAGACATGCAGAGAACATATGAATTTGTATGGAAAAAAATAGATGTACAGCTCCCTATATTAATTTAAAAATATTTTAATGGCTCTTATTTTTACTCTTTCATAAGAAACTAAAATATCATTATTGGTCAAAATGATAGTTGAATAATCCCAGCTTTCATTCCCAAAAACAACGGAAGAGATAACGAATTATCCATAACCAAAATTTACCATCTACTATAAAAAGTAAGACCACCCCACCAAGGAAGCTAACATGTATAATAATCAAAAACAAAACAACAAAAACAATATCCCAATTTTAACCAATCTGAATGAGTTTTTATCTTTGAGTACCAAGGCTCTAGCTACTCCTATGAAGTGTCACAAAGATGATGTATCCAACTGATTACCACCCAAGTCTCCTTTGATTTAATGCATTCTAATACTTCATTTCCAGATAATTTATGAAGGCCATGGCAGATTCCCACATCCACTCTAGTATTTCCAAGGAAGAAAATGCCACATTCCTTTGCTTAATTGTGAAGAAACAAGGTAAAACAGTTCTCAAAAACTATCAGCCTGTAAGTTTAATCAGTAGTATTTACAAGATAATAGCCAAAGTGTTAGGTAGTCATTTAATAAAAGTTTTAAGCAATATCATTTCGCCATAAAAAAGGGGCCTTAAGTGATGGTAAGCAGATTTTGGATAGTTCTTTAATAGCCAATGAGTACATTGATTCAAGGTTGAGATCAGGACAGCTGGGCTTGTTGTTTAAACTGGACATGGAAAAAGGCTATGGCAATGTCCAATGGGAGTCCGTGGATTATATGCTTCAGAGGATGGATATGTGTTTAAATGGAGGAGATGGATCCACTCATGCCTCTCATCAACTATGTTTTCTTTTATGGTGAATGGATCTCCAAAGGCCAATTGTCAAGGGTAGGGAGCTTTGCCAAGGGGTCCTCTACCATTCTTGTTCATTATAGTTGCAGAGGCACTGAGCAAGTTGGTTAGAAGAGCCTTAAAATAAGGATGGATTGAGAGTTTCATGGTAGGGGAGAGCATCCCTTAGAAAGCTTTACTGCAGTTTACAGACAATTCAATTATTTTCTCCAAAGCCAGACACAAGGATATTCTCTTTCTTCACTGATTATGAGCATCCCTTAGAGCATCCCTATTGGAGATGTATCACAGATTATGAGCTGGAAAATACTCTTGGCTGCCAAAAAGGTGAGCTCCTCTCTAAACTTGTTGGCCTTCCATTACGGGTCAAATATAAATTAAAAGAGTTGTGGGATCCAGTGATAGAAAGATTCAGTAGAAAGATGGTTGGCTAAAAAAAGTAACAACCAAGGCTGGAAAAGTCACCCTAAAGGAAGATTCCTGTTCAATATTTGCAGCCCTTGCTTCAGTTCTTCAAACATTAGAGAAAATCCTAATAGAATTTCTATGGGAGGGTATGGAAGATAGCAAACGGCTTTATCTTGTGGCTTGGAAATTGGAATCAGGTTTGCTTACCAAAATCCAAAGGTCTTTTGGGAATTACACCCTTTGAGGCTGTCAACAAAGCATTAATGGGGGAGGTGGCTCTGGAGGTATGGGTATGAGAAGCCTGTGGAGGAAGGTAATACAAGTATATAAGTGAGTCACAATTGGACTATTGGTGGAACTCAGCTTCCTTATGGGACTAATATCTAGAAAGAAATATTAAAATTGAAGCAACTTTTTGGAGTAATATCAACTTCAAACTAGGAAATTGGGAGTAGGTTGTATTTTCAAAACACTCTTGGGTGCGAGATCAGCCACTATTTGTGCTCTTCCGATCACTTTTTTATGTTGGCCCAAAATAAACAAGTTGTAGTTAGAGATTATTATGAAATCTTAGGGAATCAGGAGGCGTGGACTCTCAACATAAGTTGCAATCTTAATGATTGGGAATCAATGGACCTCCTAAGGCATGTTATAAATGTTGCAACAGTACTATATATACCCCAATCAGCAGGATTGCATGTGCTGGAAGTTGGAAGCCTTGGCAAATTCATTATAAGATCTTTCTTCAGATCACTGAATCATAGTGATGCTGAAAAACCACCCCTTGGACCTGGATCTAGAAAGCTATATGGTCTTTGAACTTTGAAGGTGAAGTTCATTATGTGGTCAGCAAATTCTGAACAAATTCCAGTAACTGAGCACAAGATTCATCAAGGAATCTCTATTGCAAATCATTGTGCCCTTTGTTAATCAATGTGGAAAATGTAGCTCATCTTTTGATTTGGTATCCAATTTCAATTAGATTATTATGCCAATTCCTAAATCTGTTCAGAGTGGATCTGATGATTCCAAAGGATCTCCCTTCTCGGATTGCATCATTGCCTTCTCAAGCATTAGTAGGAGAAATAATGTGCTATGGCAGCTGGACCCAAGAGCTCTATGCTGATCTATATAGATACAGAACAATAAAGAGTTTTTGATTAATCAAGCTTAGAGGTAGAAAGGCTGGTTGGGAATCCAACTTACATAGTTTCGTCCAGTCTAAGAAGACTTGGAATTTTACTTTTTGTAATCTCTTTTAAGGGAATCCCTCCCTCCCTCCTTATTAGGAGAGATTGAAGTTGATATAGAAGAATCTATGATGTTATATTGTGATAATCAAGTAGCAATTAACATTACTCATAACCTATTTCAGCACGATAGAACAAAACATATAGAGGTGGACAGACATTTAATAAGAGAAAGAGTGACATCTGCAGAAGTGTGCCTACCATATGTTGCATCTAACTTACAGCTAGTTGATATTCTCACAAAAGAAGTTACAAGAAACAAGCATGAACATGATCTACGCAAGCTGGGAATATGTAACATTTACTCCCAACTTGTGGGGGAGTGTTGAAATTCAGTAGTTTTTTATGTTTTTCTTATACATAATCAATAGTTATTGTAATTGAGCCATTAGTTAGTATTGTTGGGCCCAAGGCCCATTAGTTTGTGTTTCTTTTTTATTACTTTTTGGGATTGTTTGTAAGTTGTTAGCCGTAGCCACCCTATTAAGGGCATATTAGTCTTTGTAACCAGTACTTTTAATGAGTATATAAGACAACGAGTGGGGCGGCCAGATTATTATTGGCTTCTCCCCATCTCTTCTTCTCTTCTCACTTAAAACTCTCTCTTTCTCTCTTCTACTTGACTTGTAATCAAATCAGATAATTGTTTTTTCCCTTCTACTTGACTTGATTGTGGACCGTGGCAGGAGCCCATTGGTGTGTGGAGGGGACTTTAGGAGTGGCTCGACTGGTCGGACCATCTTCTTGTGCAGTCCAGCATGTCATCCCTCAACTGTGACCTCATAGTCACATCTCACCATGCATTGGGAACATCTCCCATGAATAATAACACGAAAGTATGAAAGATGTTCTTGATACATGGTAGGATGTGCTTGTGAAGTCGGTGTGAGGAGCAGATCCAAACTTTCTGGCCAGTCGTGCACTTTGGTGGCCAACTTCTTGAAATCCCCCTGATAATCTTGAACGGAATCCATCTGCTTGAGTTTAGATAGGATCTCATCGTAATCCTCATACACGTTGGTCCAGACCGAACGCAAAGGGCATCTGTGAAGTCGGATCATGAAAACTAAGGATGTATACGCCTAAACCACTGATACCACAGTATGGCGTCTCTATCCAAGTGGATAGATGTGGCGGAGACCCTTTAGTGGTCCGGTATCCAGTGGTACTCGAATATTGCTCTACTTTGAAAATCCAAGGGATTGGATCACCCCCTGCATATGAAGGAAAGTCAATCATAGCTGTCTGTCCTGTTCATGGCCCTCCCCGCCAACTGCTGCCATGGCTGGATTCCTCCTGGTTACTCTTCTTCTCGCCTGTTGCCAACTTATCCCATGGGGAGATCAGAACCGTCAGAGCCTACTTCATCTCCTTCATATTGGAAGCCATTTTATGAAGGCCGACCTCCAGCCAATCCACCCGGTCATCTATTGAAGTTCAACGTATGTTAGGCATCGTCGGCAAAAGAGAAACTGTAGTGATACCATAAATGGTGAGATCTTCTCACCTCAGGAGCCTCTTCTAGGGGCTCAGCCTCCTAAACAGTGAATATAGAAACGAGGGAGAGATGGGAAAAGAGAGAGGGATAAGGGAAATAATTCTTTCTTGTCTTTTCCCAGATCAGTCCAGCACCCTTATAAGAGCAGGTTGTTGATATAAAAATTATTCTAACTAACTGACAGTGCTGTTATCATATTATCATGCGCTTGACGTGGCTGATGTGGCCTTGCTGGCAGTGACTGCATGTGGATGTCCCATCTGCCTATGCCTATGTCCATAGACTATTTCGTTGTGGGGCCTAGGCCCAATAGCAAACAGGGGATAAAGCCTGACTAAACAAGGGATAAAGCCTGACCCATCAACAACAAACAAAATATTACTAAAAGAAAGAAAAACAGACAGAAATATGGAACAGTAAGCATAAAGTCCAATGTTATTTTTGCACCTAATATGCCTTGGATATGGAAAGACAACCTAAATCTGCTCCTTGTATTAGTATTCAATAAGTTGAGGTTGGTCCAGGGCCATGCTCTAAAACCTGGTTTAGATTTTGGCCCAGCAATTTGGGATAAGATCAGGCCTCATCCCACCTTTAACCAAAATAAAGTAGACTGGATGGACCCAGGCAGACTTGGATTCAACATAACAAAGCCTAATATACACCTCCTAGGCTCAAAGCTTTTTCTTTCCCTACTGCTTAGGATGCAGTGTTTTCAAGTGCATTTTATGCCCTTCTGTCTCCCATCTCCTGTATATTTTCATCTCAGTAGACCTTTGTTGATTATCAAGAAAAGAAGGTGGAACCAAGTCACAAATCTTTTTACATGAAAATGACTGCAAGGTACCTTTGGGATGCGCATAGGATTCTTTGAAGCATATTCACATAATTTGCTGATCTTTCTATCATTGGGTTCTTCATCCTGCCAAGTACAAGACAGAATATCAGAACCATGGGAAACATTATGGCAAAACATGTTGCAAACCGTAGGGATAATAGTGTTAAAAAACTATAAATTACCCATGCTTAATTAAAAAATAACCTACAAGAATGATGTACTAGGCTGTTGCAGGGAAGTCAGATTAAGAAAAAAAAAGTAACTGATTAAATTTAGGTAAAGAGGAGTCCAGTATATTTGAAACTGGGAGGGTAAGTCAGAAAATTCCATATTGGTTTGACTCTCTGAACATTTCGCTCCCTTGTCTCTTTCTCACTTACACCTTTTCCTAGAAGATCTGCTTTACAAGATGGTATCAGCACAAAAGATCTGATCAAAGCATACTTTCCCTGCTCCACTTACATTCTTTTGACTTTTTTCTCTTCGTGGAGGTGAAGAAAAGGGACAGAACTGATCTTATAGCAGCTTCACATCCTTTTTTCCTTTTCTATTCTTTGTCTGTGGTTGTATAACCAAGGCTGATTCTTTTCAGACCTGAACAGTGACTGGATGATGTGAACAGATTCTGTTTTTGTTAAGTTTTTCCACTGTTCTCCTTTTTCCTGAGTTGTGCATTCTGTTGAAAAGATCTGGAGGTCATGGGACTTCCTGGTGAGACTTAAAGCTTGTTGGATGTAAGTTTTCCATCTCCAGTTGCTTGTTTCTCTCAGATTTGTGAGTACAGATCAGTATAATCTGGGTTCCAATTCTCCTAACCTAATCAGCAGGTGTGGTTAGCCTTGTAGCAGTACATTTTTCTGATTTCCTATTTCTGGGCAGGTGTGATAACTGATGACATAGGGAAGGAAGTAGTTGATCAGAATAGGTGAAGGAGGACTGTACTGAAACTTTCTGTTTTTGTCCTGAGTAGTGTTGGTTAGAATGTTATACCATTGTTGTTAGTACTGCAAGCCTGGTAGGAGGCAATCTTTTCTTGTACAGTAGTTTCTTAGTGTGCTATTAGGTTGAGCTCTCAAGATTCCATGCTAGTTTGCAACACATTTGCTAACAGCCGCCACCAGCCTATCAAGATTCCATGCTATGTCTTCAAATACTTTCTATTTCTTTCCTTTCAGATGTTCTAGAATATTGCAAAAGGAATGCAATGTGGAGAGCTTTGATGTATCATATAGTATAGCCCATATTGTATCTTGTACCTTACTGTGTTCAAGTACTTTGGAGCTCTTTTGAAGGCTTTTTCGATCAGCACAAAACATTCTTTTTCTCTGAAAAAGACACCTAACTGGGCTTTCTGAAGTGTACTTGTGGTACCATGGAATTGAGCTAAGTTTACATGGATCTGAGAAAGTCCAATTACTGGTGCATCAAAAGAGCTTCGTGAAGGCACTGCAAACCTAGAGAAAACTCAGAAAAGTATGAGTTTGACTCCCCTTTTCTTATCCTTTGGCCCCACATCAAGGGAATGGGGAATAAAGAACTTAGCTCACTAAATATGGAGTTTGAGATTGCTAGATATTTAATCAAGGTGCCTACCTTACTGAAAGAGATGTCTAAGAAAGTATAAGGATTTATTTGCAACTTTTATTTACTACAAAAAGGAACTGGCTAATGTAGTCCAAACAAATAGCATCTGAAGCTATATCTGAGCATTAAATCAGATCAGTATTCAGCAATTTATTAGTGGTAGCAATTCCATGCAAGTATTAATCAAAAGAAAAAATGAGACAGATCTGTCGGCCAACAAAACGTGTAACTTGTCAAAAGTTCAAATGGCAAAAGCTCTAGTACCAATTCTTCTTTCAATACTCAATAAGTTCAGAAGTTCAAGTTCAGCACTGCAAATTCTACACCACCAGAAGGTGGAGAACTTTTAAAAATGGTAGTCCACCGGCTACAAGGAAAGGCACCTACACTACAAGATAATATTGAAGTGATGATAAAAAAGGTTCAAATACATCAACTTAAAGTTCGCACATCGGACGCAAGAATAGGAAATTGTAGTTGTAGACAGCACTAAAAAGTTCTGCCAAGTAAATTATCGTGAAATTGTTCAATATCCACGAAACAAATTAGCATGAGATACAATTAGATGAGATGAAACAGCGACAAAATTTTCAGTTAGAAGCACAACCATCATAGATGAAACATAAAAACGGAAATGTAGCAAACCTGGGAACGAGGAAAAATCTCTGCTATTAGCTTCTTGTACCTCTTCACCGGCTGCCTAGATCTCGCACGCAGAGCAGGACAAAAGAAACAGAGGCTGCCGCATACGGGCAAAACTTTCCTCGACATGACACCCATTGTAAACCACTAAATATTTAGGATTACAAAATTTTGATTTTCCCACAAACTCTTCCTTCTTTCCCTTCTTTTTGACGACCAAAAAGTCGAAATGTTACAACTGAGCCTGAAGGGAAAGAAAATTATTTATGCTATCGGAAGCTTTCAGACTCGGGTACCAGCCTACAATTTACATTTAAGATCAATAAACAATCGGTATCAGACGCTGCTTCTCCGAATGGATCGGCATTCATGAAAATGCTAGCCAAACAATGGCAACACTGAATAGATTCGAAAATATTCCGAGAGAAATTTAATTTGACAATTCAGAATTAGAAGAGATTTGGATTGATCGGTCTGATTACCTCGGATATTTGCCCGGAAGAGTTGACAGGAGGCCGGAAATCCCTGAAAGCTTATGCAGGAAAGGACCGGATCTCCGACATCCCCCACCGCGAAACTTATTTCCGTCTCTTCTCTTTCTCGCCCTTTTATACCTTCCGCCTTCTACGAATTTGTCCACGTAATAATCACGCCCCCACCATTTTTGGCAAATTTAAATCCGTTCGTCATCGACCGTTTGGTTGTGTATGGTTGCAATACAAATAAATTTGCTTTGATGCAAAACTGTGGCAGTGCAAATGATTTGAGTGTAAATTTTAATCTATTTTTGTTTCAAATTTTAGCTTATTTTGTTTGATTGCATTACAAATGAAGTTAAGACATGAAGCAAAATAAAGTAAAACCCAAAACAAAATTAAACGAGAATTTGTATTTTTTTTTCATTGCACTCGTATGCATTTGTAATAATGCAAATAAAATTGCACTACAACCAAACATGCCAAACGTCTTAGCTATTGTTAAGTCCATTGGCATCTTTTTTTGTGTGTATGTATGCATCAATTCATTATACCAACAAACGAATAGAGTATACAAGCATACCACATAGCATTTGTTCGGGTGATGGTTGAGCTGGCCAAGGATGCCACATGGCAACCTCCACGTCCGTCTTCTCTCTCAAGCCAGTCGACGCCACATGTAACGAAAGAACACAACTAAGGAGTGTCCTGCACGGAAAAGGAAGCGGACTCCGTAGAAGAGGAAATCTCCCGAAGACCTCGGTAGATGACCTCATCCTGACAACCCCAGGAGCCCTATCCATCTAGAACACAAACACCAAACTATAAATAGGTATTCCCCGCTTAAGGTAAGGGGCTTTTTGGAATAACACTCTTTGACTATCTCTCTGCACTATCTCTTCGCCCTGGACCAACATTATTTCAACCTGCTCGGCCTAGCCACCTCTTTCTCTAACCAATTGACTTGAGTGTCAGAGTACCTATCTGGGGATTAACTCCTCAGGCCTTTGACCTTTCTCCCGATTGCAAATCTCAGTGTCTAGCTTCATCATTCCATCTCGGCCTCGTCTAGTAGGCAGGATTATCTAATCGTGTCCTCGATTTGGAACACCTCAGATTGGAAAGGAAAAACAACATAGAAAATGCTTGGTAGAAAGACCAAATTTCCATTCATTAAGAAGTTGATACAACAATTATAAACTCAGCATATCGAGCTACATACAACAAAAAAAGAGAGCACATCAATTGTCCTCTAGGGGATCCTCCGCTTGCTCATGGGCATTGACAATAACGACATCCCCACCATCAGGCTCTTCGGCATCAAATGGATCGAACCCCTAAACGACTTTGGCCACCTCTGGGAACTGGCGCATCACCCTCCGCTAATAGAGAGTGAATCCCTCTTGCCAGGAGTTAGTGGCATAGTCATCCAACTCATTCTGATGGGCCTCCGAAGCCCTATACTCGGAGACGCCCTCCTACTTCACTCAAGCAATCTTTGCCTCGGCCTCTTCGAGCCCCCTCCTCAGTGCATCTCGTGCCTCCTTGAGATCCTGGAAACGGCCCTTCAACTTGAGGGAAAATGTCATCTCTCTCCTCGCCATCGGGCTTCAGCTCGACCAACTCTGCCTTCAGCTTGGCATTATCTATCTCTTGCGACTCATAAAATTGTCGCAACTCATGATGGTGATTGACAAGGCCAACGACCAAACAAACCAACTACATGACATCGTATAGTTAGCACAAAAAAAAAAGAAACAAGGAACAACAAGTAAAGTCGAATTCACCACCATGACTTGATGAAGAGCCGCACTCTCTAAGAAGCTACTAGTGTGACTGTTGGCCTCCTTCCTAATACCGGGGAGCATTACACCTCGGGCAAGATGCTTGGCTACTCCTTTCGACTCAAGGGTGTCCTCCGGCCGAACCAACCACTGTGGCTTGTATATACCGGCTAAACCCTCAGCCAAAGCGTGTTCTGGAGCATCCCCCCACTATGATAAGGACCACCCAAGCTAAGTTGTTGCCTCCTCGGAGTCAACCACCATGACCTCCTCTGTCGACCTTAGCCTCTTCCCCTGCTAAGGTGTGCATTCTACTGAGCGATGTCGAAGCTCTACGGTAAAGACATCTTATCGAAGAAAAAAAAGAAGTTCAGGACACCTGAGATATCAAGCAAGGGACGTCAATTGAACTCCAAGGCACTGACACTTCTCAAAATGACAAAGGAAATGGCTCCCCCCCCTATAAAGGTAGCCAATGACTCAAATCAAACCAGATCAATGGCATTGATTTGATGTCGAATTTCACACCTACGTGACCTCAAGAAGACAAAATGATTGATTTGGCTCACCTCCCCCCTTTTCCAACCCATCTCGGAAACAAAATGAGCATTGAATCAACTAGTTCGCTCAGGAAACCGACCTTACTTTGGGTCAGACAACTTGAAGAAATTAAAGTTCCTCAACCAAGGACCGCAAAACACTTCTACGCCTAGTCATGACTAAACATTACACTCCTCGACTTCAGAACTGGGGGGAGTGGTGTTCGGGTGATGGTTGAGAAGGCCAAGGATGCCACGTGACAACCTTCATGGTCATCCTCTCTCTTAAGCCACGTTGACTCCACGTGTGACTGAAGAACACGATTAAGGAGTGTCCTACACGAACAAGGAAGTGGACTGTAGACTCCGCCAGGAAAGAGGAAACCTCTCAAAGACCTCCGCAGATGACCTCATCCCAATAACCTTGGGAGCCCTATCCATGTAGAACACGGATGCCCAACTATAAATAGATATTCCCTGCTCAAGGTAAGGGACATTTTGGAAGAACACTCTTTGAATATCTCTTTGCACCATCTCCTCGGCCCGAACCAGAATTATTTCAACTTGCTCGGCCCGTCCACCTCTTTCTCTGCCCAATTGACTTGAGCATCGAAGTACCTATCCGGGGATTATATCCTTGGGCCTTTGACTTTTCTCTTGGTTGCAACTTCATCCTTCCACCTCGGCGTCATCCAGTTGGCAAGATTATCTGATTGTGTGTTTGTATCCATCAATTCATTATACCAGCAAACAAATATATTATACAGGCATACCACATAGTATTTATTCTTAAGTAGTAAGTTTGTATAATTTTTTTATATTTTTGTCTATAAAACTTATTCTTATTCATTACATTTATTTTTGTTTAATATGATAAGTATACATTATTAGAGATGTGTCTAAAATGTTTTTTTACATTTTTTTGTGTTTTTATCTTTTTGTATATTTCCATCTTTTATAACTTATTATTATTTAATTATGACATCAACGGTTGACATATTTAACCCAAAAGGTTGAGTTGTTGACTTGCCACCAAACAAGAAAATAATTTTATTTTTATATTGGTTTTAAATTTGTATTTTATTTTTATCATCAATAAAGACAATTTTTACTTTCCGTACTTATTGTGACCGATGGATTTACCCAGAAGGGGGTGAATTGGGTAGAGTTTTTAAACTTGAATATCTTGAATTCAAATCTGAATTCTAAGTAAAGCTCAAAACCCTTTCCCTCAAATTGAACCTAATCCTTTTTGACAATTAAAAAGCAATAGAAGTTTTAGGATAGGTCAATTTGATTCATAGTTAACCACGATGCTTCTCTTTGATTAACCTAACTACTGAACTAAAATACTTGCAGCTACAAAACAAACAAACAATATAATAGCAGGAGTTGTAGAGGTTAGCAGTCAACAACAAGAACAATAATAAGGACAACTAATAAGGAGGTAGCAACTGAAAGATAAATTAAACAATTATAAACCGGAATTTGCTATTAGATTAGTGGTTCTACAATTAACAAAAACATAATAACAATGAATGTAAATAATTGTATAAAAATAAAGGGCGGATGAATGTAAGTAAATTGAAAATACAAATGGTAGCTATACCTGGTGGAAGTATTCCCTCTCTTACCAATCTATTAAGATAATCTTTGGACATCTGCCCTAACCTATGATGCGAAAGCATAAATAAAAATTCCATCTCTTTTCTTTTAAGTGGCAAGTTATCAATAAGATAGGATTCAACATTCACATGTGGCAAAGGTTTTGTGTATGATTGATCAAGATTCAATTTATAATGTCCATATGAATAAGTTGTAGAGCCAACAATGTTCAAACCACAATTAGTAATAAGAGTTCCACTAGAAAAATAAAATGAATACCATAAGCATTCAACTTTGAAAGATAAATTATGTTTCTTCTAATGGAAGGTACATAGTAAATGACAAGAAGATCTAGTGTGAACCCAGATTCTAAAATAAGTCTATAAGTGCCAAGTCCTAAAACTCTGACACGCTCTGCATTTCCCATTTAGATGTAGGCATTCTCCAAATCAACATTCCTTAAATTCAAGAACCCCTGTAAGGTATTTGAAATGTGAACAGTGCACCTAGAATCAATCCACCATGTGTTTAAGGATATATCTGCAATATTTAATTTTGATTACACTAAGGCTAAGGGGTTACCTTACTAGTTCTCCTTCTTCTCTAACTTCCAACAATCAAATTTGTAGTACCCTAGTTTCTTAGAATAATTACAGGTAATTCCTTATGCCTCTTTCTACTCAAGCTTAGTAAAACTTTGCTCTTTACAGGTATACTTATGGTTTCCTTTTTCCGTTCTTCATAAATTGTTTCTTCTTTAAATCTCTAAGTTGATCCCTAACACCTTACTAATAAACTCTCTAATACTTCTTTGTTGCTCAAACTTTGCATTGAAAATTTTGGAGAGAAAACTCATGATTGTGGCCTTTGTGGAGCCTACAAACTAACTTTTCATATTGTCAAGAGTCTCCTTAGTAGTATCAGATATGGGAATGTCAGGCTTCAATCTAAGAAATCCGACTTTGAATGATAAGAAGAGCCCGTTTTATTGGCTTGTTCTCAATTGTTATATCTAGTGTGAGCTTGGCTACTTGCATTTGTTGGAGGTTGTAAAGGTTCAAATTGTGTGAAGCAAATGTCATATCCATAGGCCCCTAAGACTGTGTTAATCTAACTTCTCCATCTCTTGTAGTTGGTTCCATTCAAGAGTTCAATAGAGAATGATTGAAATTGAGCAAAAAGGTTTTGAGTGTTCAAGGTGTTAGATAGTTATGCCCTTAGCTCCAATCAGATTGATGTAACTTTTTGACACTTAGTGTAAAT